AAACCATGTGTTTCTTTAATCTAGAAGAAGGTTGTACTACATGATCCATCCATAAGGATGGGTGGTTAGTAGTACCTTCTGTCCTTTCTGCTAACTTTCTCCTCTTATTAAATAATACAAGGTCTGTGATATTAGGCCAAAAATTAATGAATAAAAATTGCAGTAGGAAAGATGTAGCTGAGGGCCTGGATAGTCCCTGGTGGTCTCAGAATTCGATCACTAGTTCTTCTTGACATGACTGTTTGGGGTCTTTTGGTGGGAGGATGAGGGTAGTTGGGTTTTGGTTTTAACCATTTCAATTCAGACGTGCTGTGTTTAATATCCTGATCTTGGTTTTTCATCTTGGTAGCTCATGGCAAGGTATTTTATTTGGTAAAAGAAAATATGTTCCCAGTGCGTACACCCAGGATGATGTCACTGCCGGGTGCAGCTGGCAGGTTTGTGTTCTAGAAAGGCAGTTTGTTTACAGTGAATTGTTTCCGACTTTTTAGGATGGCTACTACAGCTATAAGATGTAGTATTTTCTGTTCCGTTAGGGTCAGCTGGATGTGGTCACAGAATGGTAGGTAGATGTATATTCTGAGTTTGGTTTTAACCTCTGCCTGGATGATCAGACTACAAGAAAGATAGCTGGTGGCTCTTCTGGGCAGAGAACCTTAGTTTCACCTCATTTCCAGAACCAAAGCGATTGATGCCTTTATTTTTTTCCTCCTCTTGCTAATCTTTCCTTTCTTCAATGAAAGGAATAGTGTTCTGAGAGCACATGGACTTTCAACCTACACGGTAGCCCTTTGGGATGTCTTCGTCTTGTGTCAAAGGCTTTTCAAGTCAGTAGTTCAGGAGTAGCAAGTCCTTCAAATACATGAGTAACAGATACTTGTTTTTAAGAGTCCTTAAGCATGAGCAAGTCATTAAGTACTTCCTTTCTCTCCATGAATCAGTTCTATTTTAAACAGTATATTCGTGCTATTCTTAATATTTTAAAAAGCAAAAAAAGTTTTGATTTTACACTCCCTTTTTCTGAGTCTGTTCTCCTGTACACCTATGAATTTATATTAAAAACATAAGCGTATCTGGAGAGGAAGGCACATTCCCTGTACTGATTGATTCCCTTTCTCTGTCTCCTTTAAGAGTGGAAGTAGTCTGTCTACAGCATTTCTTCACCTGAGGAGACAATTTTGAAGCAAAGAAGTTATTACTCTCCAAAAACAGAACGCTTTATTTATAAAGCGTTTATATATACTCTCCAAAACCAGAAACTCTTTATTACTTGATCAACAGTTAGGTAATGCCACTTTAAAATGCCATCACCTGAGCAGCCCATCCACGTGTACACTAATAACTAACAGCAATATCCCCTCGCACCTCAGTGGCAGCTCTAGAAATTCTTGTCTTCAGATCAGTATTTTCTGTGCCAGGTGATTCTTGCGGCCTTTGGCAAAGCCGTCGTGCATCCTTCGTGTGCGGGAGGCCTGTGGAATGTCATTGAAGGAAGTCCCGTGGCTTAATGAAATGCTTTGGTTGTTGATATTGACCCTGTGATATTGTGTTACGCTTTGCTGATACAGTCGATTTGGAAATAATCTCTTTCCCCTCTCTTTACTGTATCATGCAAGAAGGATAACCTAACGTGCATATTTATAATTATGTATTTTTACAGGGTTTTGTGTCCAAGATATCAACATGCTGATACATTAAACAGCATAAATGTTGCCAGAATCCTACTAGCTTGGCAAATCTGGTAGCCATCTGAAAGCACAGAGTAGTTCTTACGATAAAAATCAGGCAATGTGCAGAATGCTGAAGTATCGCCAGTCATTCACAGCCCATGAAGAGTTCATTTGCAATCCACATGAATAGGAAAAATATTTCCCAAATCATGGCTTTGTTTCCTTGTGGATTTGCTTCAGTTTTTGCCTCCTCACACAGTCGGCAATCATAACTTGTATGGTGGTTTTTGACATGTAGACTTCCTGTTACTAATCTTGTAATTAGGTGCCCTTTTATTCATGGACTGCCACTCAGATTGACAGGAGAGATAGCTCTCAGCCTTGGCAGTTGCTAGAAAGTAGGGGATGTTTTGCAGAAATGGCTTGTGATTCATTTGTTTAGCATTCCTCGCTCTTTGTTTTGTGAGGACAGCTTGTATGGGACTGAGTCACATGGCAGCTCTTTTCATACTGAGTTTCTACTGCCCGCAGCCTCTGCGGAAAGCCAAGGAAAAAAAAATGGAGAGGGATTTATCTACAGCTTCATTTATTCCATCCATGTTAATTGTCTCATATAGAGCAGCAGCTAAAAGGAAGGATTGTCATGTCATCTTTATCAATCAGCTTAAAATGTTGTAAATTAATCTCTAGTACTGAGCACTGAAACGTAAGTAAATATAGAGTGGTCAGGGTTTGTGCCCGGGTTTGATCCTTTTCTTTTTGAGTAGTAAATTGCATTTTTTTAAGTCAGTGTGCTGTTTGTGAGTACAATAACAACTGTAGATATGATCTCCATACCACTTGTTGACTTGGCTACCTTTTAATATGCACTATGCTTATGTTGGAGATAAAATGTTTCTTGTGGCACCTATAAAATATAAGGTAATGGCAGCTTTAAAAGCCACCTAAATGTTCCTCGCGAGCCACAGGAACACCTGGTTTATATAAACCTGTGGTAGTGAACCTGTGCCATCTCCAGCTGTGCCAGAGCTGTTGGAGTGCAGTTCTGCAAGGAAAGGCAAATGGCAAAGCAAACCCCTTCACTACTGCTGTGCAAAGTCTGCAGAATTTTAGGACAGAAGTGAAAATGCCTACGTGCAACTGAAATTAGGAAATGGATGTGAATGTTGGTATTTTATTATAGTATTCCAGCTTATCTACATTTACAGAAGTAGCACAGTGAGAAATGTAACTTCATTTGGTTTTGTTAAGATTTTGTTAGTTTTGGTTTTAGTCTAGATAAGTTCCTGGGATAACAGTCCTGGGAACCGTGAGGATGTTATGTACATTATCCACTAGCCCTTGGTGAATTTTAGTCTTGCCATACATTAAGTGGTGTTTCTACTGTTACTGTATCTATTTTAAGTTAGACACAGATATGGCTGTGGCAATGTTTTCCCCTCTTGGTGTTTCCTATAGAGATATGCCCAGAGGTGCCTCCAATTGGAGAACTCGTACCGCAGGCTGGTGGAGCTGTGGCCACCTCAAGTACTAAAGGAGGTGAAATCCGGCCCCCTCCTCTAGCCAGCTTCTTTAAATTGAGAAGCTGCCTAAATCCACAAAGTTCCCAGTCCCTTGTTCTAGCCAGAAAAAAAATATTCTGGAAGGCGTTAAACTTTTACACAAACATATCGCCTTCTTGAGAGACGTTAAATACATGTTCGATGCAGCCGTTCCGTGCCACGAAGCGTTTTCTCATTGTTCTTCAGGGCTGTTTTTTTCTTAATTCAAAGAACTCTATAATATGCAAAAATTTTTGCTGCTGAGTGAGGTTCTCAAACAACTAAGGACTGTGGTATTCTCTCACCAATCTTTCTAGAGGCTTTGCAGGGCTCTGTTCTCCTTTCAGTTCTTCCCCTACATCGTATTTCTGGCTAATCCCATCTGCAAAAGCAAATTGGTTGGTAACTCTCAGACAGGTTGGGAGGAGAACATTAAATCTTGTCCGTCCAGAGTAAGCTCTTGATTTATCTCTAATATTTCCATTTAGATGATGAGCTACAAGTTGAAGTTTAAGACTAAATTAGTGGCTATTCATTTATCTGCCTTCATTAGGAGGGTATTCACTCTTCTCATTAATTACATTTTTAAGCACGTAATGCATGGTTTCTGTTATGGTGGCTCTTACTCATCTCACCTGTTGCTGCTCATCTGCAAAGCCATTTCAGTATCTTCCTTTCAAATGTCCTAAAAAAAATAAAAGGGGATTGTTGCGGTAACTGTTGTCAAGGCATTTTGTTTATGCTGCTCAGCAGTTGATGGTTTTGCTCGTCGTGCTCATCAGTGCAGTCTTGCTATTGTACAGTCTGTGTATGCTCACCAACTAATTTCTTTTCACAGAAGTTGTAAAGCGCTTTGCTCCCTGTTATCTGTGGCTTTCATAATACACATAATTTCTTTGGGCATTTGTCTTAACTTTCCACCAACTTTGTCATCCACAAATGTGTTCATACTTGAAGTCACAGCAGCAGAATACAGAGGCGGGGTGCGGCAGGGGAAAGAGGAAGAAAACCAGCCCATAAACAAAAACCAAAAAGAACTAGACAGTACTGTCTCCCTGAGTAACTTAAAAGACCTCTGGGAACATTAGGGGCACAGCCTGGACACCGTCAGAAAACCAACAAATACTTTTCTGCCGCTCTATTAGGAGATGAGCATGCCCATAAATGTCTCTGACTGTTGAGTTATGCTGGATTAAGGTGAAGGTTATTTATTTGAGTAACTTACTGGAATGAAGGTCTGACCGCCATGAACTGCTTATATGCAAACATAAGTGAGATAAACCCATGTGCGTTCGTTCTGTTAAAAGATGTAATATATGTAGCTAGTTTTCTTCATTTTTTTCCTAGCTCATTCTTTATATTTTGTTTGGAAATTGTAATTAAAAATAAGAAAATGTCTAAGGTTGCCTGTTCCTCTTCCTAGGAAAAGTCCTCAATCACACCAGCTAGCTTCTACAGGCTGTTCTTCAGTGCGTGCGCTCCAACCCATGCTTTTATTGCGAAGCTAGCCGTGTGGCTATATAGCAGATAAGGTTAAAAGGAGACTGCAGCAGTACGCTTCTGGGGTTCAGAAAAGACATTTGAATGCTAAGGAGGAGGAAAAGAGTCTGGTGTGCCAGCTATGCAGCCAGAATTCTGAATTCAGGTGTATTTTTATGTGGCTCTTGTAGCATTTAGGAGATCAGGAGATCACTAAAGACTGAAAATTAACAATAAATCCCATTTGAAATTTGTTTGAAGTAACATCATTGTCTGTCTTTCACAGAAAATGTTGCTGTCCTGACCAGTAGTCATGAAGAGAAGGGGGTGACGCGAATTTGCCTGGAGAAGTAGGAAGTTTTGAAATTTTCAGCGGGATTTATTGCCAGCAGCTGCGGAAGGTTTTGCAAAGCCAACCATTGGTGTTAGAATGGACAAAATGCCTCAAACTTAAGTGGTAACTAATTTTTCTGACATCTTTTTATTTCCCTAATACCGTATCATAAGATCATTTGTATGGATTATAGACAATATTGTTTTACTACTAGCAGAGTTTAAATAGAGTAATCTTACAAGAGCCAAACACTGGATGAATCTGTAATTTTGTGAGTTTCATTTATTAGCAAGAAGTTGGAATTTCAGTATCTGATGGTTTACTTGGTAGTTGAAATTTCTTTCTGAGGGTTCATCCCATCTCTTCATCACTGAAAAACTAAATCAGATTTTGCTATTACTCTGGTAGTGACTGTCCTCCTACCAAACACCTAGCAAAACTGCAGTTGGGAACAAGCTGTAGAAGCATCTCTGTACCTGTTTTTAGTTATATGGTAAGTAATTTGTGATTTCTGAAACATAGGAAAAGACAAGCTTACATAGTACGCTATGAAGGTTGCTCATTTCTGCTAACAATTAACATTTCCTTGAAAATCTCGTTTCTTTTTCCATTTTCTTCTTTTCTTTGCTGTTCTTACTTGCTTATCCTGTTCTCTGCCCTTCATCCATGCATAATCAGGTATGAAACATCTAAAATACTTTAGTCTTATACTTGAGACCTGTCCTGTGTCTTCACCAGGTCAACGTACTAGTCGGGAATACAAAAATGTGCTACTTTTTAAAGTAAAAGTGGGAATAGAAAGACCCTAGCTTCTCCTAGCTATCCAGTGGTAGGCTCTGTCCCTTTGTAAAAGCGGGTGAAGTGTAACCAGCCACTAAAAAAAGAAGGTTCAAGAAGTGGGCAGGGGATTACCACACCTTTAGTAGTTCGAGATGATGATTTGATGTCTTGTGAGAGAAGAGAGTAGTAGGTCTTCATGCACTTCTCAAAGCCTCACTGAACTTGCGTACAATAGAGTTTTCCTTAGTTTGGTTACACTGACGGCAAACACTAATGTAACTGCCTATGTCAAAAATGACATATCTCCACGTGTCTTCCATTCGGCATGAATTAAAAAAAAGGAAATCTGCATGTGTTGTGTTTTTATTTCCTACAATTTCAAAAATGTTAAGAATTCTCATTTTCAGACATTTATAATGGTTCCTTCTTATACTACCCTCTGGTTTTGAGAGGGAGAGGGAATGGTATTTTTGTGACGTTTGGTAGAAAAATTAGTACTGCATTTCTGAACCTTACAAGTACAGTTGTTCTCCTTTACCAGGAGAAGGTAAGGTATTTGTTCCACCCATGTATCATAGGCTGTGTTAAAGCTTTAATAGGAGAACTGTTACTGCCCAAGAATGATTCTATCCTAATTTCTGTGAGGGTTAAAGGCAGGATTTTAGAGTATGTTCAGCATTAACGTAACTGCTCCTATCCGAAATCCACATTAAGGCTCCTTCTGCCTCTTGTGAGAGCACGGTCAGGCCAGCCCTTAGGAGCCTGCCAACCAAAAACTTCCAGCTGGGCCCATGCATCAGTTGGTCAATAGGCTGGTGGGGTTTTTCCCTAATTGGTTTCCCGTCTTTACCAGTTGTCTGGTTTGTTGCCGGAGTTGCTTGCATATTGTCTTTATTTCTCCTACTGTATTGGCAAGAAGGAGGGCTTGCAGATTCCATTCATCTGCAGTGGTGAGAAATGAAGCTCGAAAAGGACTTACAAGAAAAATGGGTTTTTTTCTTCTTCTTTCAAGCTTTCAAATTTACTGTGCTCTTTAATGTGTTTTCTCTGTTCTTCGCCTTACCTCTGTGGTCCTTTCCCTTTGAATGTGTGCACGTATACTTACAGATCTCTAATTCATTGACACGTCTAATGAGAACAAGAGAAAAAGATGGTTCCAGTTCTCGTGTCTTTATGTTGCAAAAGCTGGGGAGCTGGGGCACTTCAGTGTGTTTTCAGATTTCTGTAAGACACTTTAGAGCCCAGAAATATTAGCAGCACGAGTTAAAAAGCAATACTGATCACAAACTCTTATTCATTCTTACTAAGGAAAATGTACCACCTTGGCATGTCTTTATTCAGCAGGTTAGGAGAAGATACAAATAGTTTACAACCATCATCATTTTAGAGGAAGAATTCTTAGAAAACTGGAAGGTGACGTTTTGTTTGCCTTGTGCATTGCTGCCTGGCAGAGCAACTTGTTCTTCATGCATCCAGCCTTTGTCAAAACAGCACTAACTGTAAGTCTACCAGGGGTAACGGCTTCAGCTGAGGAAAAAGGTTCCCACAATTGTTACTGTATTCAAATTACTATTATTTAGCTGATAAAAGTGACAGTCAGCGGCCCTGGAACAGGAACAACAATGCCTATGCGATAGATTTCTCTGCTGGCACAGGAAGATCTCAATAGGCTGAACATCAAGAGGTTTGTGTAGTTTGAGGAAGTGCTGGGCGAGCCGTGCGGGAGGAGGCCTGGGAAGAGCCAGGGGTTGCTGTTTTGGGCAGATCTCCTTCCTGATGGAAATGCTCCGGAGCGGCCCAGGTGGGAACTGATTGAGGATGCCACGCGAACAGATTCTTTGTCTCTGAGAACAGCTGGAGGATGTTGCATGGGAGGTGCTCTTGGCTCAGGGACTTCAAATGGGAGGGGTTTCTCTCAGCTTGAGAACACATTTTTTCCGCTTGACTCACCAAGTGAAATCTAAATGAGTGATGACATTTCTAAAAGTTATGTTGAATTGGTTAGAATAAGAAAAAGTGCATTTATCATCAGGAAGGAAGAGCAAAGTAAGGGGAAAGATTCAATAACGAGGAAGTCACCACCTCCTCAGTAACAGTGGAAGGTTGTAGGCAGCTAACGCACCTCCGTTCAACAGCCTGCCTGTTCTCCAGCCTCACAGTAATTTACCATCGGAGAGAATTTTTCTGAAACTATTATCAACCTCCTCTCCCACATGCAGTACCCACACACGTTTCTGGAGACGCTTTCCATTGAAAAGATGGACTTTTTCTTTGAAAAGACATTCATTTCCATTGAAAAGACATTACACTACGAACGTGTTTGCATAGGTTAACTCGTTGTATAGAATGCAGCCCTATGTGTGCATGAAAGGAAACTGCCCACTAATTCCTGCAGAACCCATTTTTTTCCAGGAACAACACCAGCCTTTGTTTCTTCTCTTTGGCTTGGCACGTAAAGCAAGGAAGGAACATAAAATACTGAAGCAAGAGTCTGGTGTGATTGATGTATACTATCGATAAAGCTAGGTACCTGCAGAAGGCAGGGAGGGGCTATTGGCTTAAATGCATTTTCAAGATAATAACCATTAAAATATTCCTTTAATGATTTTACCTTTCTGTACTGCATTTCCTTTGTGCATTCCTGAACAGTTTGCCAAACTTCAACTGCTGTATCAATTACTTTGTACTTACAGTTTGAAAAAGCGTTGGCAGCAGAGGCACTGTGTTCCGTGTGCTTCTTGTCCAGAACAGGCTGGCTGCCTTCCCCATCGGTGTTGCAGGAATCATAGAACTGTATTGCTAAACCAGGGAAGAGAGAGGGTAACATTTTAACTTTACTTACATATGAACAAAAGAGTGATTCAAACCCCAAGATTTTTAGCTCTACCTCAAAAGCAGCTAAAGATATTAAATTCAGGATGTGTTTGGGTTTGGGGGGTTAAGAAAAGACTTTGTTCTTCCCCTGAGATCTGACTTGCTAGTTTTCAGGTCCAACCAGGCTTTTTCAGTTGAGGTTGAAGGTGATGATTCAAAATGGAAACACTGACAGAGTAAGCAACAGTAACGTTTAAAATATTTATTGAGTGTCCCTATACACAATTCTTTCCAAAGGGCAATTCTGATTTTTCACTAGCTTACACTAGTCTCCATTTTCACTTATGCTTATCTGTGAAATCTGCCCCATCACAGGTATGTTAAAAATATTGTCCTTGTCAGCTCATCTGATAAAAGGAGACCGATGCTTGTGTTTGTTAAATTCATGCTGGTGTGATGGCTGTCCCTGGAAGCTTCAAATAAGCAGAACAGGCAAAATGGAAAAATCATCTCATGAATTTGTAAAGCTCCAAACCAGCACTGCTCTTCATTTTGAACAGGCTCCTGTATTTTACATCAAAACGACTCTGCTGCAGGGTATCGGATCTTCTGGCTCTTTTTGCGATGGGATGGTAGATTGCTTTTTGTGGGAGCAGTGAATTTTCAGTGACAGGGAGGTAAGAGGCCTTGCTTATGGTGAGGTCTCCAATTTTCATTTGTTCAATATTCGTAACAAATTCACCCTCCCTTAATTTCCATCACGTGAAACTAGTGTATTTTACTTTGTCATTTCATTTGTCAGCTGTTCAGTTGGTGATAATTAGATTGTATTTTTCATGCTGGGTCCTTTCGTTCTTCTCTAGCCTGTTGTTATGTGATGTGGTCTTGGCAAGAAACACATTCCCATCCTTTAAAAAAAAAAAAAGAGAAAAGAAAAAAAACACATAAAAAACAACTGAACACATCTCAGATCCTGCTAATTAAGAGAATGATCAACTTCTAGAGTTGAAAAAGATAATCAACACACTTGAACCTGTTGCAAGCAAGAATCATTTTGTATGAAACAGAATAACTTTGTTATTGAGTTGGAAAAGATTACGTATGTAGTTGCCATAAAAAGATTTTTTTTTTAAGTGCTATCCAGATACTCAAGCGTAACAGCCTACGGTATTGGTGCTATTTTTTTTGCTACAACCTGTAAATCAAAGCTGTTACATTAGCTCCATCGTCTCCCTATTAGGAAATGGCATATAGGCAGTTATGTAAATATCATACTTCTGGCCTGTCTGTTAATGTCAAGAGCAGAGTGAAGGAAAGGGAACAGAAAGCAGCCACATCTAAAACTACACCTGAGAAACAGAACCAAGGCAGCAGCGCTGCACACTGTGTGAAGAGAGGATGTCTTCACTTCTTTCAGCGCAGGCATTTCGTAACGCAGTCACCTAGGTATGCATTTGAAACACTGGAAGCTGCTAGCGTCTTGTCGAGTGCAGGTAGTCCCACTGTCCCCAGGCTCTGGCCAGGGTCAGCCCCCCCCGTACACTACAGCGTCCACCTCATACAGCAGCAACATCTCTTATCTCGCCTTTTAACACAAAATGGTAGGAATATTGGAGGCTTCTCAGATTCAAAGGGTTTCCTAGCTATTTATCCACAATGCAACTTTTCCTTTCGAACATGAATTTCCTTAACTCTCTTCAGTATAAGTCTCTGAAAATGCTTTCAGAAACAATTGCTGATGATGCAGTCTTTCTCCCTTTGTTCTTACGAAGCAGGATTTTTTCAGCCCAATCATCACTATCTTAAATATGAACATTAGCATATATATGTTTTAAGCAAAAATGCGTCATAGGTGAATAGGTAGGGGCTTTAATAGACTTCTAAATAATTCCAAAAATACCTGGCTTGCTTTCTTTTTCAGCCGTGTCTTATATGTCATTCTCTATGCGAGTTAACCTATTTTTTTTGCTAAGCTTTTATTTTTATTCCATTACTTTCCATTTCTGGTAATAAAAACTCTGTGTATTCTCCAGAGAAAAACTGCAGGTTACAGTTTAACTTGCACTGTTGTGGTGACGCTTTGTGATTTGCGTTGCAGTGGCATTCCAAAGATATTTAACAAAATTCAGACTTTTCTTACTGAAGGAGTATGTTAGGCAGTGTGCAAACATAATTGGGATTGTTTCTTTTTCAATACTAGATAAGAAGGTGTGAGGACAAATAAAGTACAAAATGAAAAGGATCCCTATTCCAGATTCTTTAGATTCTTGCCTCCCCACCCAGATTTTTTAAGAACACTTCTAGTACGCTACTGAGATGCATGATGTTTTTCTTCTTTATGGCCCTACCCAAGATCTAACAATTATTGATGAGTTATGTTTCTCGTTGCACTGCGTCTTTACCAACAACTTCTCTGGTGTACCGCTGTTTTTGCGAACATCTTTACCAGGTTAAAATATTTCAAATTTTTCACAGTAGATTTCTTGAGCTAGTAACTAGAAATAAAAGTGGTAGGAGCTATCACTTGATGAAAAGCAGTGACAAAATGTTTTCTGCTGATCAGTGCAGCACTGACTAGCTGTATAACCAGTCAGAGGGATTGAATCCGTCTAAAAATTCATATTTTCAGGGAAAGGACTGCTGAAAATAGAATTGGGGAAGACAACTTTCTCTTGTTTGTACTGACTTCCTCTTTCAGATTTGATTTTCGCTGCAAATACAATTCAGGTACCTAACAATTTACAGATGTATTCCATTACAAGCAGAAGAAGGGATGCGTTAGCAGTTCCGCCTTCCAAACATTTCAGACTTCTTGAGCGCTGTCTCTGCCATCCTCTTTCATAATAGTTTTAGAGTATCAGTATTGGCAGTCAAATCAGTATATTTGACTTTTGGCATAGTACTACTTGGTTTCAACTTCCACATAAAGCTTACTGCGGAAGAAACACAAACCCACAAATTTAAAGATGGCATACCGTGAGATACATGTATTACTGCAGTAATGCCTCTCTGAACATTTTGGGGTTTATTTTATTACATCAGTGTTGTGGCTTCAGTGTATTTACGTTTAGGGCTTAAACTGAGTGAATTCACAGGTATTAAGGGGACATTAAATTAATCAAAATTTATGAGTTTGCTTTTTTAATGGAAAAGACATTTCTTGCGCAGCTAAAGAAAGATAGCACCAAGCTCACTGGAGGAAGATTAATCCTTGCCTAACTGTATGACTGTGTGCCACTGATTTTCAAGACTTCAGCTGATAATAGCCATTAAGTTTGATTTTAGTGATGGATACAAAAATCAACCTTGCTATCTGAGCAGTAGTCACATACTTGCGTCTTGCATCAGTCAGTATTTGGTTAATTATCTCAGTATCACTGCAAAGAGAGCAGATTCCAGCTGGCTGTAATTAGGGCTGAATTGTTCCATGCCTTCAAGACGATTTTTACATTCATGGGATCTGCAGCTTTCTGTTGTCCTCATTTCCTGTAACATAAAAGAATTTGTATTTCAAAGAATTAAAGGAGGGCAAATAGTGGGAGAGGCTGTACGGGTAACTTATTAACATCCTTGGAGGTCTGACTGAGAAATATGCATGGCAAGTCTCAAACAAAAACCCAAATGCCAGGAGTCCTAGCCAAAAAGTGTTATTTTGGTTGATTAGAAGAAAAGGTGGATCTTTAGAAAGCACAGTGGGTTCTATAAAATCTGAAATCTGTGCTCTGTAAATCTTGGTCTTAATGAGAGACCACCAGCCTGTGTAGGAAGAAACTCGGATAGCAAATCAGGAGTGCGCGTGACATAAAACAGTCAATGAAGATTCAGTAATTCAGTAGCCATGGGATACAGCACTAAAAGTGCTGGATATATCACATCCAATTTGTTGAAGTAAGTCTGGTTTTTTGTCCTTAGGCTGCTGAATTACTAGCACTGCAGTAGTGGCATTCGCTTTTATGGATGTCCCAGCTTCAGGAAACACTCCTCATCTTGCCTTCTCTTTTCAGTACTTGGGTCATCATGACCTATGCTCTGTGCAGCCTCCGTTATCAGCCTTTATTTCAACTTACAATCAAGACTAGCAAGTTCTCAAATTATTATTCTCTTTGGGGAAGGAATAGCCTTTTGTTTAATTTGCATGTGAAATTACGCATTGGCATTTAAGTGGTATCCAATGTGGAAGGTATTTGCCAGGAACTGTGCAAAGAAAAAAAAAGTTAATTCACATGATTATTTTAAGAGCGTCTGCAAATAGATAATACCAGCGCATAGCCCCATGTGAAGTACGCTAGTCTGTATCTTGAGAACAGGTAAAACAAGGCCATGTCTTTTGTGATTTACCTGAGCTACTGACAGTTCCCAAGGAAAACATTTGGCGCTAGGGAATCTGTTGGACAGAAGAATGGTGCTAATGTGGCCCTTGCCGCAGAGATGGTGACAGACCGCTCCCGTAATTTTAAAGGACTGCAGTATTCTTTTGAAGGTATACTTGAGCAGAACGGAAAGTTTTTATGCAACACAGTAAGTCAATGTGAGCCCAAGAGCTTCAGAACAGTTTCTGTCTTGCCACCATGCCTACATAAAACTTGCTACTGTTCATCTGCTGAAATCTCTATTGACTACTACTTCTTGGGGTGCGGAGGGTAGCAGAGCTACAACAGCAACCTCACTGCTGCTCCTAGCCATGCAGTGTTGTCCCCTCTGTGGCTGAATGTTTGGTGCTTATTGCTTGTCTTCATGAGCCCATTCAACTTGCTGACCTGGCAGAAAATGACCTTTCCTCCCCATCCACAGGTTGATTTGCTGCAGTTTGAAGGCTGAGTTGGTTCAGAGGTGTCAGCAGAACAGCAGAGCCAGTACAAGAGAAGTGGTGAGGGTACATGAAGGTGAGCATCTTCAACTAACTTGAGTTTACAAATGTCTTACAAGCATAAGGGCCTGAAGGAAGTTAACGAAAACAATAGTTGATAAAGATGTACAAGTTAAATTCCTTCTTTATTAATGCAAATTAAATATTTTCCTAGATAGTAATAGTTGCATGTGTCTCTTACTGATTACCTTCGTATCTGTCTGCGTTTTCTTTTCAGATTTAGGTCTGTTCAGACAGGCATCTCCAGCAGTGGCTGTGCAGATATCTCTGAGCTGCATTTAGAAAACGTTTTTTGCACTGTGGTCATATAAGTGTAACTACTCAACTTTCTGCATGTGAGCATTCTTCAGTGCCGTGGCATTGTTCGCTAGACAAACATGAGTAATTAGTGCATAAGAGCACTTTGTGTTGCAGGTCTGAAGTGTAGAATATACACACAAGAAAATAAACTTTATTTTGTGTGCTGAAATAAACTTTTTCAATTTTCTTTTGTGTTCTTGATTACATTTTTAATAGAGAATTAATATGCGTTTTGCTATTCAGACAGGAAGGCTTTACTTACTGAACTGCTGCTGTGAAAGTTTATATTCTCCAAGCATAGAATTTAGAATCACAGATTCTGTTTATTGACTGAAAGTGAGTCTCTTAATCCTCAGTATCTATCTAGATAACTTCCTTGAAATTTTACTATGACGACTACGGAAAAACAGCTGAAGAGATAAGTAACCGATATCCAAATCTGTATGTACATCAGCTCTAGCCATGCACTAGTGAATCACTTATGCATGGTTTGATGTTAGTTAAGTCGGTCTAGTAACTAGCTGCGAGCAAAGGGAATTGATGCACTGTCCTCCCCCCGTTCCTCCAGGCCAAGCATTCTCCTTCCCTTTAGCCTGGTCAAGCACGTAGCCAAAGGAAAGGGAGGCAGGGGAGGAGTAATTCAGTTCCTTCCTTCCCTACCTAAGTTCCCTTTCTTCAGTTTTGGTTTCCAGCAGGGGAATTTGCTGCAGGGTCCCACAAGCACCAATACTGGAGGCACAGCTGAGTGGTGGCTTATAACATGAAACGTGCAAACTTTGGGACTATGACAGGTTTCACTGTTTATAGACCACATAGCCACGGTCTCCATTTAGCATGTTTGTATTTCAGTGGTTTTCAGCAATCTAAAGATGGTATGTTTTCCAAGCACATTAAAAGAGAATTTGGTTATCATGACAAAAAGGTACAACTTACAACAAAATCCAGGAGCTCTTCAAAACTTCTTCAACTCTGCATTTGTGGTTCATGAGGTGATTAATCCTACAGTGACCCCGCATCCCCGACTGCCTCACCTCGTGCAGAAGTTTAAGCATGTATCGCGCTGTTTGTGTTACGAAGATCTATGTAGCTTCCAGCATGAGGGATAATGTCTCGTAATTGTTCAGAGTTGAACATTGACCGCAATAACTGCTAACCCTCTTTCTGCAGCAGTGTGCCACAGAAGAAATGGCTTTCATGTTGAAACGTGATTGGAGTACAGTGTAATGTTTGATGCGTCATTTTAACGGTACTCTCAAAAAGCCTAGTATCTTGGTATGTTGTTATCTCAGACTCTGCAGTTGTTTCTTATTTAAATGTCCTGTCTCACTTGAGATTTAATGTAATTAGAACCAGCCTGTGGAAAAATCTTTTTTTATTATGTCTTGGCTATTGTTCCAGTCAAGATGGTAAAGCAAATCAAACAGGATATAATGAAAATTATAAAAACCATTTGCAAGAGGCAGTTTTCCTGAGGGAAGTAAAAGGCAGCACCACTTTTCATTTTGCTTTGTATTTCTAAACATGGTATGTGCCTGGAATGACTCCACTGAGACTTGTCCGGTACACCTGAGAGCAGAGTCAGGTACATCTGACAGCAATCTGACTTGACTGATACAAGAGGGAACCAAAAGTACCATAGCAATAAGCCTCTTCCGCTATTAATGTTGCTTTACCACCCTATTCAGCCAACAGTAGGTCTACTTGCCAAGTAAGGTATGTGTGAAGGAGTTGGGTCTACAATAAGCATCTCCTTAGATGATTTTTTTCCCTCTAGCTGTATAGCATCTTGAATGGGGACGTATGTCCAGAGTGTGGTATCTGAAAAGATACTGCAAAGATATTCACACCCAAAGCTCTAGTGTAACATGTGTTTCTCAGACAAGAAGTGATGTTCCTGGTACAAAAGGGTAGGTAAAAGAATGTCAGAGGCAGAGAGTCGGTTATCTTGGTCTGGCTTGGAGGCAGGGTCACAGCAATGCAGGTCTAAGCTGGTCCCTCACCACTCTCTCTGCTTGTGTGATTTCCGAGGAGTTCAGATGTTATTACTCTACATCTTTTAGCTCTTAAATTAGGTTTATAATTTTATGTCAGAGCTGTTTTGCAATCTCTTTTCTCTTTTGTGCACAAGCCACTTGTGAACAGGCTTTTGTATCGTCAGCATGTATTACATATTTATATTAATTCACAGTAGTATTGATAAACTTTAAGTCTGAGAGGCTTAATCAAGAGGCTGCATGCCATAGAATATAGTTAGAAATGCGGTGCTTTCAGGGGGTGATGGCAGGATTGTCAGTCTTGCTATTTTAGCTCACAACAGCTGTGTACGGGTGGATCGAGTTTCTGAGTTGCACAATGCCTTGCCATTGCAAAGCAGCCGGGTTTATCTGGTGCTGTGTCCTTAGGTCCGTCTTTGACAACGGGGGTTTGAAAATGCAGAGAAGTACAGCCAACTAAATCTGTCTTCATACAAATGTCAGAAGCAACAGATCAATCTTGTTCTTCAAAAGCTAATGACATAGAAATTCAAATGATCAAAATCCAAATTCAAGTAATTCAAATGATGCAAAAATCATTAGTTTAGTACCTGCAAACTATTTTAAAACTTCAGATGTAATTAAAAAAAAAATCTACCTGAAAACATTCTCTTGTTTGTAAGTTTCTGGTTTTGGCGCTGTATAATTTATAGAGCACTTGTGCGCAAGTTTGTCTTCTGTTGCCTTGAACTCTTTGGAACTGAGGAAACAGTAATTTCTTCTTCTCCCCTTCCCTCCGTTCCTTTTTTGTAAAGAAATTATTAAATGCTTAGAGTACAAATGCTGCACATGAATATTTATAAGAACTTTTATAACATTTAGCAAGGCAATGCTTCACGGCTGTCTCTTTCTGAATGCACATAACAAAGTACCCATAATTTCTTTGAAGCTGCACTTGCTCTTTATTAATTTGATCGCAGATTGGTAGGAACTGTAGGCTCCTCGGGGCTGTAGGGCTGCCGTTGTTGGTGATGACAAAACACAGAGATCGTTGCCGCGTTCCCTACTTTTCTGTTAAAACGCTTGTGTTCAACATTTAATGAGAATACATTTTTCATGCATCATTTACCCTTAAGTTGCAGAAATTTGCTAGGTAGAAATCTGTTACCTGTACTGGATAAATACCTGATTCCCTGCATTTATACTTTGGTCCTGGAAGAAACAGAGTTAAGCATCTTCTGCTTGAAATACTAACACTGTAGAACAATTGAACGGCCCTGGAGCACACTCTGCAAACCGCTTGGAGGATCCTTCTGTTAATGCAAAAAATGTTTTAGTCTCCACTTCTTCCTCTGCGTATTGTCTCTCGGTAACAGTGCATCCTGTGAATACCTAATAGCGTATATAATGCCTCAAAGTGCAATGCACCCATTTCTAAAAAGCAAATGGAAACTAGTAGCTGTTAATAGCAGTATTTATCCCCTTGACATCCTTAAAGAATTTTGATCAGATTAAGCACATGAGCAGTCTAAGGAGAGGAGAAAGAAGAAAGACTTTAGAAGTAGGCAAAAGGGAGGGGGAAATAGTTTGTTGATTTATCAAAGCTGAAGATAATTTTAGAACTGGGTTTGGAAGTTCCTTGCTCATAACATAATGTATTATAACTTCTCCCCTCCTCCTCTTTAAAGTAAAGAAATTGCCATAAACTGCATGTGCTCGTGTCCACAAAGTTACTATATTAATTAAGATTTACAGTGCTTATCTAAAAGCTGGATTGTATTTTCTGTGTTGGAAGTTATTTACTGGAACTTTGTAAATGATGTGTAGATCTCTATGACTGCATGTATTTCGGTGAATACTACACAAAGAACCACCTCCTTCGGCCACCCGTACCAGCCAAAGTGCTGCAGCAAACAGCCGTCACTGCTTACATTCACCATGGGCTAAAGTTTTGCTTTGAACAGTTCAAATGGTGTGGTGGTGAAACGTTCCCAATGGTACAGCAGACCCCTGCGAAGGCAACGCTGGGAATCGTTCCTAAAACCGTTGCTGTGGGCAAAGCCATACAATCACCCATGGAGTCAGCTACGGTAGTGTCTAGCTGGGTTTTCTATATCATTGTCAGCTATATTCTGATAGGCTGGTTTCTGTAGAGATACATTTTAAACATACGGTAGGTTTACATCTTTCCCTGGGATAAGCTGGCTGTTGCAATTAATTTCTCCTGGGGTTCATTGCTAGTACAGTTTTTTCCTTTTTTTCATCATATTTTCTCAGTTTTAAGTCCTCTTTTATCTGGTCATGCTTATTTTAGCTTTCTGCCTGTGATGCGTGTCTTGCGTAGATCTCAGTCTGAAGATCTCAGAAACACACCAACATATTTCATACTTGCGGATTTTTTCCTTTTTGTGTGTGTGTTTATAAATATGTATAGTATATACTTCTCTGCTACTACAATATACAAACTATACAGGTGTATTTTTAAAGAAGGCACTATTCATGTGACTTTAACCCCTAAACTACTACTGTGCTTAACTTCCAGATAGTGATTTCAATCTCCTTCTCAAATGTTTTGGGCACAGCCATTTTTAGAATCACTTACCTGATTAGAAAAGGAGAAGCGAAAGAGACAATATCAAGAAGCAGTTTACATTTCAGTTAAAGTTGTATACTTGCAGTATTACGTTTATCCCCCTATGTTACAATAATAACATTGAAGGGAAGTAGTACTCTCAGTTGTGCT